TATATTAATAGTACAATAATAGAATAAATTATACATGAACTGTAAAAACTTTCATGACACAATGTCATTTGTACCTCATGTTTCTAAGCCACCCACCTTTAGTTTGCTTTAAGGTGCTTCTTAAGTTTGAAAACATTTAAGAAAATGATTAGTGTTCTTTTCTTCCCAACAAGCACACTTGCAGCTTTTTTGATTTAGTACAGGCTCAGCTTAGCATCACCCCAACATTTTAAGTACTTGATGTAGCCATCATCATTATACACATGTCAGCACATGACAGTAGCGCACGTCAGTGCCTGTAGCACTGACAGTATTTGAAATGTTACATCTCCTACCTAGATGGAATATGGAATATCTTTAAATAATATTGCTTAGCACTTTAGTTTCTCATTTCTTTTGAGCTGCTCTGTCTTCCTTAACTCTCCTTGTCTTTTTCTGGAGGACCTTAAGCCCAAGGTCACTGTTGAGTGGGAGGGATGGTTCCCTTGTCTTCCAGCCCAGGTAGGTGGGACTCTTTAGCCTGGCCTTGACCTCCTTTCTTTTGTTAACATGGAAGAGCATCATACGAACTGTGAAAGTCAAGTGCTGTCATAAAAGTGAGAGAGTGCATGTTTAAAGACTTTCACTGTATTAGCTCACACTATATAGGGAGCGAGAAGCAGATTTTTGTAATACGGATCAGTAAAAATGCCTTAAAACATCCTGGGAATAAAAAAGATAAACAAATAGAGTGACACCAACCTGTTCTTGTGGCTTTATAGTCCAGTAGGAATACAGTAAGCACTTATAAGTATGTAAATAAGATTAAAGGGATACGCCCCTAAACCTAACTTAACCCTAACCCTATCCCTAATCCTAAACCAAACACTAACCCTAACCTAGTGCTAGTCATAACCCCATCTACCCCTAAATTTATCCCCAAACCTAGCTCTAGATCTATCCCTTGCTCAGGTCCTGTCCCTAATCCAAACCCAATGGACTTTTTCCTACCTAGATCGGTTCTTTGTTAAAGCTACCTTCTTTATTGCTTGGAATACATTTGTATCTGTATGAGAAGCAAGCACATAGCTGCTCCAATCTCAGCTTAGTTAGGAGGTTTTGAATGCTGCACAATGTTCTACTCTAGGAAATAAGGCTGTGCCTCATAGGACTTCTCTCAGCCTTGAATTGTTCTTATGTTGGAGCAATCTTAATAGCTATGTAATAATAAAAGAGGTTAAAGGGATACAAAATACTGAACAGCAAGGGAATTTCAACTTCCTATGGGAGCAGCGAACCCCTATGGGAAGATGTGAAACCAAGGCCTGGAAGTTCAGCAGGTGATAGGCAGCAAGAAGGGACTGGGAAAGTTTTCTGAGGAGAGGAAGTAGGTATATGATGACTTGGGTGAAACAGAGTCATGCTGTAGAAGACCAGGCAGCTGGAGGACAGGGCCAGTGTGGCAGGGCAGGGTGTAGGCAGGAAGATGTCTGGCAAGGAATTTTGGGGAGCTGAGCAGTGGGGCCAAATTGGGCAGGGTCTTCTACTTGTTAAGGACTTTGAAATGAACCCTAAAGGAAACTATTAAAAAATTTAGTCAGGAGACTGTCATGATTTTCTTTGTGCTTTAGGATGATGGTTCACCTGCTTGAGGAGAAGGGAGTATATTTATGTACAAATATTTGTAGAGTCGTGAGTTATCTTTATTGTCCTTTTGTTCCCAAGAGCTCTTCAGTGTTCAAGGAAGAATAAATAGTGACTTTTTAAGTGTGGGTAGACCAGTAGCCTGAATGACAGCTTTGAAATGTCAGTTGGGAAGAGAAAATAAGAGGGATTTCAGAGATTTTAATATGTGAAAAATAATCATATTTTATAAATTCCATTACATTTTAAGGGTGTCAGAAAGCCACAGGGCAAAGATAGCTTTCAGGTTTCTATCTTGAGTAGGTAAGTGGGAGATGATGGGAAACAGGAATATCATTCCTCAGAGAAGCAGAACTAGAACAGCACATTCTGGAGGAGATGGACAATGCAGAATTCTGTAGTGTCATATAATGCATATTAATATGTAATCATGAATATTAATGTACAGCACAGTATTTCTATGTGCATATGGCCTGTGGGGTATATATTTTCCAGTCACCCCTCCATAGATGGCCAATAGGCCATGGAAATAGACAAAACTTCTTGGGAACTTGTAGAAAAAGAATTACTCTTGAGCACCCAAATATTGAGCAAGAAAGTGAAGGTATCATTAAGACAGATTTAGATTTTAAAATCATCTAACAAGAAAAAAATTTTGTCCACCATTCACTTGACTGTAGTCAAAATAAAGCCGATAAAATGAGGTTCTGTCTATCACACTGAGTGATTTTCTCTAAGTCAAGGCATGGAAAGGCTCCTCGTCCACCTTTCTAGTGTAGTGTAGGTTTTTAAATATCCACGTGACCTGCTACTTGGTATTTTGTCTACTTTGAATTGTAACTTCTAAGAGTATAAGAATGTTTCTGTGTTTATATTTAATGGTCTTTGGTAGCAGCAAATTTTAAGAGATCTCTGGAGTAATCAGATGTGTTCATATCTGAGAAACAGCGTCTAACAAAAAAGATGATATTTACTGAATGAATGAAATGCAGACTTTTGAGACTATAAATTTTTTAAAGACAGACTCATTTATTTATCTTTTTCTTCTGAGCCATATACAAATATTTGCACATAGTTAGAAACACAATTATGATGTGTTACTGTTATTTCTAGTAGCAATCCTTTCTCATGGTTTAAAATTAGGGCAGTTATTGATATTTTTAAGAGCAAAACGTTTATTTTTTGAGTCTAATAAATAAACAGAAACCATTATTAGACACAAGTATGTCAAACATAATACAGATCTGATTATAGAATTCTCATTTACTTTTTGATCCTAAAGATCAAACCTTACAGGACTGCTGATAAGGCTAGTAGCACATTTTTTAAGCCTCCAAAATATCTTTTATTTAAAGACTTTCTTTTTTAACCACAGAATGTCGAGATAGCTATGTTCTGTTTATTGCTGATTTCTCCTTTTCTGTTTTTCCCCTCTTTTTGTATCATGCCCATAGCAGCTGTTTCCCTAACCCTTACCCCAACCACAGGCTTTCCCACGCTCCTTTTTTGGCTCTCACTTGGCATTGATCCTTAGTTTGACAGATAAAACACGTGTCTGATCTGTAGTCACAGCTAGTCAACAACCTATCAGGTTTTCCAGAGGGGGTTTTGTGTTCATTTTACTCTGATACAAGGTAGTCATTTTGTGCAAAGTATTCAATTCACTGTGAAAAATTAACTTCTCATTTAATTTTCATTCCTTAGTACCATGTGGACAGTTTGCTCTGGGATTCTATAGATTTGATGAAAGTGAATCAATATATTGGGATGTTGGAGACAGAGAAGAGGCAGCATGAACCTCAGTATTGGACAGAAATACTGAGGGTTCAGTTAAACTTAGACATGCACAGTTTGGGGTTCTGAATGTGATATTCAGTTTCCATGGGTTTTAACTCCCTTTTGCACAAAATGAGGAAATAATTGCTTGTGTTTTGAAACATTGATCTAAAGGAGTCATTTTGGTAGAAACTAACCTATGAGAGGCCCAGCACAGTTTCATTTGGAATATGAGATCAAGGTTATCCATTCTAACGTATGAATCTCATAGCTCAACAGGATACACAGAGCAGTGTTTACTAACTTAAGTTAAGGGAAATCTCCCAAGTTGCTATACCAATGTTTTCATGGAAGTCATGCATGGAATAGGGAGGAGTGATGTAATGGAAATCTCTAAATTATATTAAACCAACAAGCTATTGGTGTGTTTGTTTTTCTATGCAGAATAATCTACAACTACATGAAGTGGCTTTCTTGTGAGTTTCATTGTCTGATCTTCCCAGTAGTTGTTTAAGACATGTTGTGCCCAAGGAAGAATAAGTAATTGTTTCATCTATCAGCTTAAGGCATAAATTTAAATTCATAAATTTGAGATATAAATGGATGCAGTCCTCCTGTGGTGTGTGTGTGTGTGTGTGTGTGTGTGTGTGTGTGTGTGTGTGTGTGTTCATGCCACTTAAAAACACTTTAAAACAATTCAACATCTTTACATACAAGGAATGATAGAATACATAACATTTCTGAAGTTATAGGAACATTTGGTAGGGGGCGGGGGGCCAGTACTGGGGCTTGAACTCAGAGGCTTGGGCTTGCTAGGCTCACTCACTTGAGACAGGCCTCCAGCTCTTTTTTGCTTTGGGTTGTTTTTCAGACAGGGTCTTGTGATTTTGCCCTGGTCTAAACTGGATGATGATACTTCTAACTATGCCTCCTGCATAGTAGCAGGGATTATAGTCATCTACCACCAAGCACAGCTTGTTTTTTGAAATGGAGTCTCTCCCTAACTTTTTGCTGGGGCTTGTCTTGAACTGTGATCCTCCCAGTCTCTGTCTTCCAAGAAGTAGGAATTATGGGCATGAGCTGTAATTATAGGTGTGAGCTGTAATCCCAGTTTAAAAGTACTTTAAAGCACTCTAAATATGAATTCCTTGCACATACTATATAAAACAACTTTATATCTTATCGGTGTGTATTTCAGTTGCATCTTTTTGGGGGATTTTCCTAAAGCTTTGGTCTCTTCTTAAAGCCCTCCAAAAAGTTACAGAAACATGAAATTCACCTTATATAATTTCTTAAATTTAAAGTTTCTATACAATTCTTTAGATCATGTGAAAAAAATTTTAAGCTACCTCATACGTATCATGATGTAGATTCAGCGTTATGTGGTATGGTCACCTTTGATTTAGAAAATGTCTTATTTTTAGGAATAGAATTTTGTGTAGCTATTTATTTAAATTCAAGTTATTTAAATTCACATGAATGCCATCTTAAATTTATGTTCAAAGTACAAAGGTGAGATTTTGTGGGGGTTTTTTCTTATAAATATATCCTTTTTTTCTTATGAATTAATCCTAAATAAAATTGGCTATCTTTATTTGAAACAGAAGTACAAAACTTTCAAAGATGGTTGGAGACCTTAACCACAGAGTGTGTAACATGTGAATGATGGGTCACGCTGCTCCATCTGTGATAAACACATAGCTACTCTGTGAGTAAGTATGTTTGACTTACCCTCACCCTGTACTGGATAGGGCACGACTTAGCAGAGTTGTTTATGTGACATTTGTATGACATCCCATGGTTTTTAGAACCAGTATACCTTTTCAGAAAACAAATTGCAGTACACAAAAGTATTGTGATAGAAAAAGGTCATTTTAAGTCTGATATTCAAATGATATTATTTTTCTGTTTTGCTTTGAATTTTTAAAATTGCTTTATTTGGAGTCAGAGTAGTAAACCAGAAATTATATCTTCTGATACTGATATATTTAAGAATATTTTATAGAATTGTAGTAGCAGCTACAGTCTTGAAAGGTAAAAGCTACTCTTTTTAATTTCCTTGGGTAGCAATTCATAAATGGAAACTATGGTGTATGTGCTACAATCCTGGGCTTTTGTCTGGCAAAGGTTGTTTAAAACTTGAAGAGACATCAAAGAGTGTGTCAGTCCATCCACCCAGCTCCGGCCAGAACTACTTGTGGATGGCCTCGTGGTTTATGTAGGTATCACAACATTGCGATTGCATGTATGAGCCTCACAGCACTTTGCAGAGGAATAACAGTTAAGATTTGTAAAAAAAAAACCACATAGTTGATATGAAAACATACAGGATGATAAAAAGGTGATATCTGTTCATTGCTTATGATGAATTCTAGGTCATTTATATACGTTGTCTGAGTTCTGTGATAAAAATGAAATAAGGATTCATACACAAGTTTTGTACAGAAATGTTCTCTATAGTAACAATAAAACTGATTACTATTGACTTGACTATAAATTATTACCTTTAAGATGGAGAAAACTAATAGGTGAGAGAGCCTGGATTTGAATTCTGGACTGACTGACTCCAAGATCATGTAGAGAATTTAGGAGGAGGACTGGGGGTGTGGCTCGAGTAGAAGACCACCTGCCTAGCAAGCAGGAGGCCATGAGTTCAAACTGTCAGGGAATGAGAGAGAGAGAGAGAGAGACAGAAAATGAATCTAGGACGGTCAGAAAGGGTACTGGAGCCTCCCTGCAGGCTCTTCTTCACAGCACAATTTTTGAATAGAAAGAATTGGCTCAGGACCCAGCCTCTCACTGGTCATTGGTTTCATAAGTTACTGAAAGTGTTTCAGTTTCTCCTGCAAATGGGGAGTAATAATGACACCCATCCTCCAAGTGTTGGCAGGACTAAATGAGACCATGCTGGAATATCAGTGAGCAGAAAGCCTGGCACAGTCGGACTCAGGAGAGGTTGAGTGTTGCAGCTGCGTGGAGGACCATCATGGTGCAGCTGCTTGCTCAGTGGTTCCTCTGCTTCTCTGCTGCAATGTTTTCCTCATCCTTTTCATTTAAATTTGAAGTTACATTTAAAAAAATCTTTTCTGAAATGAGAGCAAAGTTCAGGAAAATGATGGTAATTAATGTTTTATTAATTTTCTCCCTATTCTCTTTAATGCTTTTATATTTTGCAGAATTGGGTTAGTATATTTTACAATTGTATTTTGCAGCCATTTCCTACAATATTAAAGGTTTATACGTATCATTTATCTACTTCTTAGTATTGTATCATATTTTACTTAAGCATCTCCTCTCACTGAGCTTGTTAAGTGTCTACAGGTTTTGTCACTACAAATAGCATTGAAGTGAACATTTTTATAAATTATTTTCTTTTTTTTTCTAGGTGGCCCAGGCTGGCTTTGAACTTGCTAGGTAGCCCAGGCTGGCCTTGAGTCTGCAAATCCTCCTATATTTCCCTCCCAAGTGCTGGGATGACAGGTGTGCACCCACAGACAGCCCTTTTTTACATATATGTATATGTACATACATAAATATATATTTCATATATAAGCGTATATGAAATATTTATGACTATATACGAATTCTTGTTTGCATTTATGATTATTTTCCCAGATATCTGTCTATGTGTAGAGTTACAGGTGAAAGAAACTAAGCAGTCTCATCTCTTAAAATAATAGCTTACACTCTATTAATTAAAATCAAAAGAAAACATCTTTTAAAAATTCCAGAACAGTGGTTTTCCCGTGCTCTGCTGAGAGGAGAGAGTCATACCGTGAAGGTAGCTTCTCCTTTGTTTCTTATTTGGAATCGTTGTTTTCCAAGAACAGTGATGCATTTTAAGGTGTCAGGTTTGAACAAAAAGTTAAGTCAAGGTGTGTTACTACAGCTAATGCTGATCGGGTGAATGATATCTTACTGACTTACCAACACTCACCAAAATTTTAAATATAGAAAACTATTTAGATATCCACAGTAGTATGGCATGAACATGATTCCCTTCTTGCACTGCTTATTCCCTAAAGGCTCGGGTGTCAAAGGGAGCTGGAGCTTCGGAGAAGGTTGGTTCTATCTGTGTTACTGAAAGAGATTGTTTAGAATGTTCTTGGCAAGTTGAAGGAGAGGAGGAGGGGAAAGAGCAGGAAGCCAGAGGCTGGCCAAAACCCACAGTGTGACTCTTATCTGTAAATCCCTGTGTCTCCATCCTCCGTCCTTATGAGTCAAGTCTCATAAATTCTTCACTGCTTGCTTCCACGTTTTATGGTACTTTTAACACGTGAGAATGGCCTGAACTTCATGCTGAGGTTGCCATGATGTGGGTGAGAGGTGACCCTGGAACATGCCAGTGTTCAAGGAAACTGGTGGTTATAAGTAGCAGGAATCTTGGCCAAGAGTTGAGTCAGGGCTGTCAACATGACTGGAATTTGTAGGCATTCTGTGCAATGCTACATGTGTCCCAGGGACAGGGAGGCTCCAGGTAGAGGCTTGGTCATGTGATTTTTTTTCAGCAGCATTGCACAAGCCTTACTTTTCATTGTTCAGAGCAAAGTCCTTGCAGGATTGGTTGCACAGAGCTAAATAAATTTCCCCTGGACACACACCAGATTTATCTCTAGAAATACAGGCTTCTAGACACTTCTGGTTTTGGTGTAGTCATTCTGCCTTGTCTTCAGATTCTGGATAGGTTACTGGTCAAAGACAGGCTGAATGCTTTACTCTTTATTTCTATGTTCTTAATCTGACAGGCATTTGGGCTGAACTTTGATTAGAATTGGGGAAGGTTAGGTGGCTGAAGTATTAGACATGTTCAGGATTGTCATAAGTAGTAGAACTCGGACCAAAAGAAATACATGCTTTTTCTGACCATTGGAGGTGTTCAAATGTGAACTAAAACACAGCTTTGTGGGAATAAAATAGGACCCTGAGATTTCACCAAATCACTATAGTATTGCTAAGTTAAATAAAATAGCTGTATTAGATAAACTTATATGTTCCCTCATTCCTGAAATTGTTCAATATGCCAAAAAAGCCACCTTAAAATATTATGGCATTGAATTTTTGGACATATGTCTATACATTTTTAGGGTATTTTTTTGTCACAAGATGGCTGTTTATTGATTTTTGCCTTTGTGTGAATATCATTTTAATGTTTGATTAATACCAACAGTAGCCTCAACTTTGTTGATCAACTTTGTTAATGTTTTTATACATGTCTTTATCAGGGTTAAATCTGTGTTCACATCAGATAACTCAGGACTGTGGGAGTATTCTATTGGCTGTGAAGTTTGTTGCTTTAATTGCAGCTGAGTTAATCTGTAGAACCGAACAATTATACTTCCATCTGTCTTTAGGGTTTATAACTGGTATAAAATAAGCAAATAGTGTAAAACACTTGTGCCTATGTGTGCAGCTCAAAGTTTTATTGATAATAAAAGAGAGATAGAGAGAGAGAGAGACATGCTCACTTTTGTGCCTGGGAACAGATCTGTTTCTAACCTTTGGTTTGAACAGGAAGTGAGAGAGGTGAAATGAGGCCTGGTTTTGTGGCAGACCAGAGCACTCCGTGTTCCTAAGTGTGGTATGCAGGTTTCATGTCTGTCTAGCTTCTTGCTCCTTTGAATAGCTGGCCTTTGAAGTCCTAAAAACATAGATTGGTAACAAGCAACATAAAGAGTGGGCAAATATTTGGAAAATCCAAACTCTGAGAATAGCCTGTTTAGGATAATTATACTCAGGCAGTATTATAACAGTATTTTAGTTCCCACCTGAATTACAGTTTTACTAATAAAATTCTCACATAACAGTAATTGAAAAGTCTCATCTTTACTTGTAATTTTAGATAGAACTATTATTGTATTTCTAACCATTAGGGTATCACTAAGTACTATCATTTAGGTGGCAGTCCAGCCCTTGATGGGTCTTTGTTTTTTGTAATTACATGTGAGTATCAGAAGAAAGAATTCTTAATATAGTTTTGGTTATTTACTGGATCAATACATTTGAACAAAAATAAACCTTTTATTCTGTTGTATGCTGTCATTGAAGATACATATTAATATGTACAGTGTCTTATTTTCAATCAGAAATAAAAAATGCTTTAGAATGAGATGAAGGTGGTTCTATTTAAACTGTGGGGAATATTATAGAATCTTCTGTTCACCAAGACTATATTGTTTTTTCCTTTCCAGAAAACAAAAGAAAGCAAATTTTGTTGAATAGTCCCAACAGGAAGATATATGTGAATAATTTTGTATATTTAGGAATACATGAATTCAAAAAGGCACTCTGCATTACTGGTATATTTATCTCCTTCCTTTTTATGTCTGGTACTTGATTTTGAACTCAGGGCCTTGTGCTTGGCTAGGCAGATGCTATACATTTCAGTCATGTCCCCAGCCAAGAATATGCTAATATGAATGTTATACTTTCGTTGTAACTCTCAGTATATAATGCCAGCATAGTTTTGGGGGAATATAATTTTGAAACACTGACTTCATCTAATTTGTTATAATAATTATAGGACAGTAATAATTTAATATTTTGGTGTCAGGATATAAGACTTGCAACACTAGAAATTGCTAGACTGTATAGCTAATAAACCTGGGTTGACTTTAGCTATTTTTTATTTTATTTTATTTAAGGCCAAATTATTATGCCATACTCCATATTCAGGTCTTTGAAAAAAATTGTGGCCTTTCATTGATCAAAACATATTTATAGATATTTATAAAATTTTTAACAAAGTGTGCATACTTATAAAGCATACAGAGGAAATATATACAGATTTTAAATAAATCCCTACAAATCTTTGTATCCGTGTAGACACAAAAGTTATAAAAATAAGGACAATTAAATATATCCTGTTAGAAACTCAATTTTCTCCCACATCTCTTGCTCTCATTCTGTCTCTGTCTCTCTGTCTCTGTCTGTCTCCCTGCTAGACACAAGGTACACACTTACACTTATGCTCTCACATCTGCCTTGGTTCACTTCTTTTTTGAGACTCTGATCCTACACACATGGCTAAGGTCAAAACGTTCTTTTTAAGAGCACACTTTCATAATGCCTTGAACTTGTTTTTCTTCAACAGAGGAAAACAACCCTCATGCACCTGGACAAACAAAGGTGTTCCTTCCAAAGCAGACTTTCAGAATCATTAATTCTGGCTGAGAAATGATTCTGAAAGTTAAGTGGACTTTCACGCATCAGGTTTTAGCATTGACAAGTGGCCGATCTGTGATTTGCCTCTCCCTGGTTTTCATCTTTGCTGTCTGTGTCACCTGCATTGCTGCCCAGCTTCCTCTGAAAGCTTTGGCTGTCCTTGGAGCAAGTGAGCCCAGACAGCACTCCGGGGTTCTGCGGCCTTTTGGTGGCATGCTGGGTCAGCTGGCTGAGGTGCTGGACACTTCTGCCCACACATAGTGCAAGGTAAGGGGAGGGATGGTAAAGGTGAAGTCTACAGGTGTAATTTTTAAATTAATTTGGATGCTGGAGATACAGAAAGAACTGATATGACGTATAGTGAGCTGTAAGAAACAGCTTGAAGGTGAGGAGAGAAATTGAATTTAGTACGAGGATGGGGGTTGCAGTGTCCTTGAGTGAAGTGGATGTTGGTGAGAGATGAGGCAAGTTAGATATGAAAAACATATCTAACATTGTATTTTTGCATTTTTAGCATAATCACAGCTGTAATGTTAAAAAAAATAAGTGAAAAGGAAAATCTTAAAAGGATCAATAAATTTTAGTTTGAAATTCTTAATATACTACTGTAGTCATGGTAGTTCTGCATTATGAATGGTTATCACAGAAGCTGGTCAGAGTTTGGCTCATAGAAAAGGAAAGGGACGTGATGAGACCTGAAAAGTCATGATGAAGAAGGGAGGGATGAGCTGGGGTGAGCAGCTTTCCCTTTTATATTGGGAAGAGGGATCTTTCCAGCAATAGACCTTTCTCTTTCTGTCTCTTTTCCTCTCCCCTTTTCTCTTTTAATTGCTTCCCTTAGATGACATATTTCTGTATCAGTAGGGAAATTATTCAGTAATTGTAAGTGAACATAGAGGAGCACATACAAATTGCTGTCTGCTGCTACAGAACTCGAACATAGGCTCATGATTTGATTTTATAAAAAACCCTATCAGTGCAAATTATGAACATATAGTTATAGATGAATCAACATGACGTGCTTCTATCCATGCAAAAGCAACAAAAAATGTTTGCACGGTGGACTGGGGTAATGTTGACACTTGCCTGACAGATGATTGACACTGGAACTTTGGTTTTGTGTGGCAGAATATTTACTTACTGGAAATGCATAGAAAATATGCAAATTTCTGCCCCCGTAGAGTAGACCTAACAGCTAATGAAGAACTTTGATAAATCTTAACAATGATTATAATTTGAAAAACTCAGAATCTCAACAGTAGACCAGCCATGGAAAGGGTAGAATTCCACCCTTACTTCTATCCATTTGGGCACTCGTGCACAGCACAGTGACTTTATGTCACAGTCAGGTGAGAAAGGACTTAAAAACCAAGGAAGTGTTGGTGACACGTGCATTTTGTTTTCAAATGCGGCCTGTGGAATTCTAGGTCGCTGATTTGGAAAAACAAATGAACTTGGGTTAGCAGGAACACAGATAGGTTGCCAAAAATATTAATCCAGAGTATTTCTGGAGGTATACTTTGGGATTGGCATAGGTGACCAATAATGCCTGGTGATATCAAGCAAGGTAGGGACCTGCTTAAAGTCAGTGGGATTTTTTTTTTTCATTTGTTCTCTTTTGGGCAGTACTAGGATTAGAACTAAGGGCTTTATACTTGCTAGGCAACTTGCTACTTGAGCCACACCACCAGCCCCTTTTACCTTAGTTATTTTTTTTTCAGACAAGATCTTGTTCTTTTGTACAGGTCCTGCAATCCTCCTATCTCCTCTTGCAGCTGAGATTACAGGTGTACACCATCGCCTCCAGCTTGTTGGCTGAAATGAGGTCTTGCTAACATTTTTCATGGACTGACTTCTAATCGCAATCCTCCAGATCTTCACCTCCCAAGTAGGTGGGATTACAGATGTGAACCACCATGCCCAGCCATCAGTGGGGTTCTTTACACCAGAAGATGGACGCTAAAGAAGTTAGATGCTTTTCCCCATCACAGTGTCTCTCACGGACCTGCCTCCTTCATTTCTCACCATGCTTCTCTTTTCTAATAGAATACTTTACTTTCATTTAGTTAAAAGTTTATTGTTCTCCTAAGGGGGTTTGTAACCTATAAGTATACATTTATTCATCTGCACATTTGTGTGATTAATTACACTTGTAAAATTCGTGTTTAAAAAGAGCGTGCACTTCTCTTAAGCCAGACATTGGTTTAAGTGCTTGACAGATAGTAATTTTCTAATCCTTTCAGTAGCCCTGAAAAGTGACCTTCATGTTTAGGACAGAATCTAAAGTCATGTTGAAAAAGTCTGTGACCTAATTCTGTGACACTTACTGTGGTCTGTGTCATGGAACTAAAATACACAGGAATACGGAGGTGGTGATGTGTTATTTTTGTTGTCCCTGTGTCTGGCATAGGACCTACTTCACCATGCATTTTTATTTAGGGCACAGAGGCAGCCTGTGTAGTGACCGTTAACCTCAGCTCTGGGTCCAAACTCCCTGGGTTCAGTGCCATCTTTGCTTCTCACAGGCTGCGTAATTTGGGACAAGTTACTCAAATCGTCTGAGGTTCAGTTTCTTCAGTTTGTGAAATGTGTGGAGTCGCAACACCCACTTCAAAGAATCGTCAGCCAGATTAAGTAAATTATTATTCTTAAAATTCTTAGCAGTGTGGCCAGCACATTTTAAACACAATGCAAGTAATAAAATGCCCAGGCAAAAATTTGACTATTCAGGACTTCTCCGAAGGAAAGCACTTATTTTGTTGATGAAATTATGAGCCATGACAATGACCAGGAGAAGAGCTTGTACAACAAAAGTACAGCGAGTGACACCCTCATAGGTTTCTTCCCCTCCCTCAGCAGCCACAGGTCTAACTTCCTGCCTGTTGTGGAACTGCTGGTTACTAGCTCCGCGGGAGAATTGACTGAATATGAAAACTTTCGGTTTGTGAAAAACATCTGGAATTTAAAAAAAAAAAAAAAAAACTTGTCTACAACCTTTTAAGCAAGTTCTTAAAAAGAAAAAGAAAAAAATCCCTCAATACTGCCTTAGGTGGTATAAATAAAAGAGAGGGTCCACACCTTGGGAAGTAATATTTTTGACATACTTCATGCTGGCAGGATGACAGCTGGAATACTGTGTTCTGCCCAGGACACCATCATTTTAGGAAGGACATTGACCATTTAGAGGACCAGAACTCTGGGGATCATGTGAAAACAGAGGGAGTGGGTCTGTAGGGAGTAGCCTGCAGAAGAAGAGACAGACTGACTGCAGCTGAAACACCTGACTCCAATTATTCACAAGGTTGCTATTTAAAAATAGATGCCCTATGTGTTTGTCTAGAAAAAAAAAGCAGAATCAATACATTGACAAGAACATGCATATTTGGAGTTAATATTAAGAGGAGGAAAGTAATGGGGCTAGCCTGTCATTCTCCTTAACCATGGGTACCAATGATGGGTTTTGCAGGAATGCTGCAAGAATCACAATTAACACTTAGATTTGATTATATTCACTAAAATCAAGTTTAACTATCTATATCTTTATTGGGCTTGAGCAGTCATGAAATTTTCAATCCCTGAAAAATTCTTTCAATTTTTTTTTCTTTTTTTGGCAGTACTGGGGTTTCAACTCAGGTCCTCGAACTTGGTAGGCAGGAGCTCTACCACTTGGGCTATGCCCCCAGTTCTTTTCTCTTTGGTTATTTTGGGATAGGGTCTCACTGTTTATGCCAAGCAGCCTGGATCTTCCTATATGTGTTCCCACATAGCTGGGATGACAGGCACCAGACACCACATCAGCTTTTTACTGGTGGGGATGGGGTTTTGCAGGCTTTTTGTCCAGGCTGGCCTCGAACCATTATTCTCCCAATCTCCACCCCCAGAGTAGCTAGGATTCCTTGAATTGAGCCACTGAAACCTATACTCATTCAGATTTTAAGGCCATTAAAATGACTAAAATAATTTCATGCACTTTCGTCCACCTTGACAATGAAAGAGCATGAATTTCTGCAAGTGTCTCACTTTCATCCAGCCTACTTTTGAAATCTTATTTATGGATTAATCAATGAAAATGAATCAAGGGAAACACAGTGATAGAGTGTTCTGTCAAATTTCAGAAATTCCTCTAATGGTTTTGAGAATTTTTTATATGTATTTCCACAAAAATAGTGTGTTAAAGAACTAGTTGAGGGCTAGTGGAGTGGCTCAAAGCAGTCTGTGTGCCTGCCTAACGAGCACAAGGGCCCTGAGTTCAAACCCCGTTATGCCAAACAACAAACAAACAAACAAAAATCTTAGTTGGAAAT